TCATACCCTAATAGATTGTGCAGGATTAAAGAAGAAGTTTGAGGAAGCGGGTTCAACTAAGCGGCTGGGCTTTTGTTGTTGATTTGTGTAATTAATATTTGTAAGTAGTCAACCGTTTGTTAAAGATCCTAGTGTTTAGTTAACTACAAGCTACTGCGACTCTGATTTTGTAATGTTAAGTAAATTTGTATTATTTGTGGCTCTATTTCTCATCATATCATGATTGTATTATTTTATTTTTATGACTATGGTATGACTCACGCCATGATTCGGGAATTTTCTTTATTTTCGAATCGGGTCGTGACATTAACCAATCCAACTTTATCAAGATTTATTCAGAAAATATATCTAGGAGAATATATGACACATATAAATTCAAGATAATCACAACATGAGCAAAAGTTTTTGATAAAATCTATAACCAGATAGCAGAACAAATTGAAGCAGAAGACAACGACAACTCATATTGGAATAGCTTAGGAGAGGAAGAGCTACACAATATAGATAACATGTTGGAAGCATAAACTCCATGTGAAGCCAGAAGCATCATCATCTCACATGAAGAGATTATCTCAGCAAAACGATGCAGCATCAGTCCAAAGCAAGAAAATCCAACTTTTTGGTTCCATATAGCTAGGAAGAAGTAAAGACCCCTTAGGCAATTTAAAAATAAATAAGGACATTATTGTCCAAAAACTAGAAGTTTGGGCCTCGTTATAAATAGCTGTCTCATTTTGGGTTTATTTATAAGTTACCCTTATCTTTATTACATGTTCTGTCGAATATTGCATTTCCGTCAATTTTTATAATTTGGGTGACCTGTAACACCTGCAACCAATTCCCACATCATGCATTCAACGGACGTGGCATGTTAATCTTCAAAGTGCAACTACAGTAGCCCATCTGGTCAATAAACAACAGTAGCCCATCTGGTCTTCTGGTCAATAAAAAGACTTAGAATTCTAAGACCTCAACATCAATAAAAAGACTTAGAATTCTAAGACCTCAACAACAGTAGCCCATCTGATCAATAAAAAGACTCAGTAGCTCAAAACAGACCTCAACAACCCAAATATAAAATAAATAACAAAGTTTTTGGTCAACAAAACTTCTTTCCATGAATACAAACAAAACAAATCATTGTGATCTTCCTTCACAGTTTGGTTTCATGACGAAACAGTAACCCTCCAGGTTATATTGCATGCCCATGCTTTTCGAAAGAGAAAATATTCTTGTTTTTCTGACGATAATAAGTACCTTTACAGCTTTGCTCAACCATCATGTCTGTGCTCATTTCATGTGGTTTCATTATAATTGAGAGCAATATGCCAAATTTCGCAACTCTTTCTATGGGCCTATAGTTCAAAGCAAGCAAGAAAGTTGTTAACCGAATTTAATTTTGGCTTCCTGCTTACTCCAAAACCCATAAGGTTTGCATTTTGCAAGTCCAACAAGAACATTGGTCGAGCACTACTTCATGCACTGCCGAAAAAGGGTAAAAGATATGAAATTAAATCATCACCGAAATGAGTAAAACTCTTTTTAACAGTTTAAGAATAGGTGAGAAAAACCCACCGACACTCCCAAGTGTATCTCGTATTGTCATTTTATTTAATTTTTTCACGAGATAATATTTAATTGATTTGAAATACCGTTATAATGACATTTCTGCTTCGTGAAAGTTGTGCTTTCTTGAGATTATGATTGTGCTAATCTAAAAGTCTATATAATTGACCAAAAAGAGAAAACAGATGCCCTCCATACCACGGCATGATGCATGATATTGTAAGTCCAAACACGTGCAACATCTAATATGTATTGATTCCTTGCTTGCCCAAACAAAGAAAGTTGAATTTCCTTGGAATATCGGACTTGTTTAAGACTGGCCATGGCATGATTGTTCAACATTTTTTAAATTTATGAATTGCTAGTAGATAATACATATACATCACTCTATATTAAGAAGAATGTTAGGTAGGCGATTGTCAACAGTAAATTTATGTAGATCCCACAATTGTTCTATCCACAAGAAAGTCTTGGGTAGGGTTACTGTGGGAGGTAAGAAACTCATAAGGGGTGAGCTCGGGTGACATCAAATGCAAGGGTTCCACCTCTTGTGAGTATGTTGCTCTAGGCAGCAACCCTGTTGATCGATTACAATCGCTCATGCGAGCACGAATAAATGTTAATTTGTGACATAACTCATTATGTATGTAATTCAGTTAACCCTACAAGAGTTTTTGAATTAATCTTCATTTGATTAGAGGACTGATTTGACTAATGGCGATTTGCTGCCTGCGCTTAATATTATATTGGTCTATTATATCTTTGAGTTTGTCACGCTTAATAATAGTCAATAAACCATATCCATATACAATTCAAATATTGATTGTTTATTAAACCCTTTGTATCTGGATCATGATTAATAGATGATGAATCAAATCTATTAGATAATGAGGGGTTCGTTAAAAAGTAGAGATTGTCTTTTGTTAGAATACGATTTGTACGACTGAAACAGGTCTTTGTATACCACTTAATTTCTCAATATAATTTTGACTTGTTATGCATGCTAATTATATGCATTAATCATCTCATTTCGGGATAATTATTTTGCATGAGAAATTATAAAATACTACGGTAGTACGGTCACATGGTGTACATCTTGTACACGCGTTACAAAATATAAATTTCCCCCCTTTGAGGGAATAGTATCTATAAATATCCACTTATATTATAATACGTGTACAAGATGTACCAAGTGACCGCACTATCGTAGTATTCTCAATTTCTCAAAATTCATTTTACAGAGGGTCATTCTCATTAGCGTAAGTGAGTGATATGTTAGACAAATCAAATATGCACGCAGCTGCGCACATTGTAAAGTACAAGGAAAATGTAACAAAGATTAGGAGTAAATAAACACCATTATTAACTTTCCAAATGCAGTTTATCCTATCTTCATCATATGATATACGCTTCATTAAGACATATACATATTTATCTTGTTGATGGTCTATTTTTTATATTTATATTTGTCTTGGTCTTGGGAGTATCAGCAAATTCAACAATATGTTCCTCTAAGCTTGGATTAGAAACGAAGCCCGCCCTTTTCTAAAAGTAAAAGCCACCTTTCCAACTCAACACGACAACACCATTTTTCAATTAACGTGAAAGCAAGTGCTCTCTTCCATCACAAAAACAAACCAATTCCCTCACTTTCTCTACATAAATACACGACATATTTTTTATACAAGAACCACAACACAACACAAAGAACACTTCCAAACTCCCTCAAGAACACATTAATTCCCAAATGGGGGGTTCTACTTGCTCTTCCCCCAAGACAACAACCAACAAAAAAACATTAACAGGAGCAGGCAATCTCATCAAGCTCCTCCCCACCGGCACGGTCTTCTTGTTCCAATTCCTCAACCCTGTCTTTACCAACAATGGCCACTGCTCCACAATCAACAAATACCTAAGCGCCATTCTCATCGGCATTTCCGGTTTCTCTTGCTTTTTTGCTTCCTTCACTGATAGTTACACCGGCAGTGATGGACAAACCCACTATGCGGTTGTAACACCTAAGGGTCTTTGGCCCTCAACAAATTCCGACTCTGTGGACTTGTCTGCTTATAAACTTAGGGATGGGGACTTTGTGCATGCCTTCTTTTCCTTGATTGTGTTTGCAGTTGTATCACTTTTGGACACCAACACTGTCCGGTGCTTCTATCCAGGGTTTGAGTCCACTGAGAAGGTTTTGCTGCAGGTGTTGCCTCCTCTCATCGGTGCAATTGCCAGTACTGTTTTCGTTGTGTTCCCTAATAATCGCCATGGAATCGGATACCCCTCCTCAAGTTCTGATTCTTCACAAGACTCAGACAAATCCTGAAGAAATTGAAGTATCTGAGCTTCTTGTTTAACAAGTCCTAAACAAGTACTAGTGTTTGCTCACGCAAGTTTATGGTTGTCATTGTTTGTTTAGTAGTTTGCCTAAGTTTGATTAATTTCTTCCGTATCGATCCCTCTGGAATGTATGTAACAAGTTTCTATTGTTCGCTAAAATTTCCATTTATGAATTATAACTTGATCTCAATTCTCAAGTGCTTTAATAGGAAAGGCACACAATGTTTTATGCCATTGGATAAATATTGGACGTTGAAATTAACAACAAAAACTTAGAATACATATCTGCAAAGGTCCATAGGTTTTCACACTTTTCCCGATTAGTTTGAGGCTCAAAGGCTCACAGCCCCACACATTTCTTATTGGTGCAGATTTTCATCTCCATGAAAAGTAATAAAAGTCCATTCAATATTGAATAAAATAAAATAAAATAAGGTCTACATGTGGAAAACGAAATCCATGCCATACATACCCTTACATTTTGCATCAAGCACAAACCAAAGCAGACTTCTAATAGTTTAGTTTACGTCTGTGGTCATCATACAAATTGCAGTAACTCTAAACACATTCCTTCAAATTATAATACTTTGAACAAAATCCTTGCCACTAACAATACATTCTACAAGAAATTGGGTCTTCTGCATGTTGCAGATCGTACATAAAGTCAGAAACTGTTCCTTTTGTTTTGTTTGCAACAGTTGAGGAGTTTATACTAGCAATCCATACCATTTTCAGCGTCAATGATGCCAAAGGTATTATAATCTCACATCAGCAAACAATCCATCTAGAAGGTTAGAAGATGAATTCTCATTTCCACTCTCATCAAAGAAACCATTAGATGCATGTTCTTTTCTACATTTTCGCTCTTCAATTACGGAATCTGCTGTTTCTGCACAAAAACTCCGTCTTGTCTGTTTTACAGGTTTCTCTGCCACAATAAACTTGTTCCCATCACGAGTTCTCTCAGGGAAGCCAGCCCAGACTGAAAGACAACCATGGGTGGGGAATTTCATAAGTCGTGCACAAGAAGGACCAACATGTGGTGGGGATAATTCAAAAGAAAAGATTCTCTAATTTTGGTAGGGTGTTGGTTATCAACTTAAAGTCACTTTCTATTCAAGAGTGAAATAATCAATTTGGAAAGAAAGGAATTGTTGTCTTGTTCAATACTAAATCACTTTCTATTCATTGTCTTGTTAACGTAAAAACAATTTTGGTCATTCAGGAAAGTTAAGTAATCTTATTGACTGACACTTGTTATAATTTTCTGCTTAGTTAAGACTTCAAACTGAAGGCCTGCTAACTCCACTTTTCCCCTCATCAGTTGAGCCAAGGCTAGTGGACACCAGGTGAAGTGACCCATAAGACTCCAAGAATTTATATTGGGTGATGGAGAAAATTCATGATCATGAGGACCAGGGAGAGAAGAAAGAAGGGCACACAAACAGCCTAAGATGGATTCTAGAAGGATAAATGATGTCTGATGATTGAACATAAAAAATGAAACTTAGGATGATAAAATTTACACACCAACTAAATGGCAAGACAATAACCAAAATAAGTCATATCAACCAAACGTTGTTAATCTTTTTTGCTTATACAGTGAACCATCACATAAAAGAACATAAACCACATGACAGTAAAAGAAGAGAAGAAACACAAAAGGCATGAGCTCATTTTTTATAGTTACCTCCAAACTGATGCAACACAATAGAAGCTGCCACCGTTACATTCAATGAAGCGGTACCACCTCCATACTGTGGAATATACACAAAGAAGTCACATATCTCCAATTCTTTGGCAGAAAGGCCTGTTCCCTACAAACAACAAGCAGAAAAATATAAATGTATCACCTAATGGGGCTTATTTGCAAATGCCTAATGATTGCAAACTAAAGTTTAACTTTAACTCAAACTGAAACACAAAACATCAGATTGTCAAATTCCAGTAGAAAATCCCTCTCACAAACTACCAACACATTTCAAACAAGCCCACCAATCAAATACCCAAGAATCCATTATTGAAAATTAAATTACTTGACTGTCAAATAAATTCTCATTGAATCAATATTTACAGAGCAAAGAACCCATATGGGCAATTGTGAAAAACGAAGATTACCTCATTGCCAAGAAGAAAAGCGGTGCTCTTGGTAAAAGGGTGGTGATTGACAGGCAGAGCATCATCAGTGATCTCAACGCCGCAAATATCACAATCTCTCTCCTAACGCACATACAGAAACGAAAACAGAGTAAGCCCCATAGCCGAAAAAGAGAAAGGAAGACGAAATCAAAGAGAAAGAGAGGACCTTGAGAAAGAGACGAGCGTCTTGGAGGGAGTGGAAGTGGCGAAAGCGAAGGTGCGAGGTCGAGCCATGGCTGCCGAAGGCGTTGAACTCTCTGCGGCCGACCAAGATGAGCTCAGAGACGCCGAAGGCGGTGGCGCTTCGGGCGAGTGTGCCGACGTTGTGCCTCTTGGCTATGTTGTGCACCACCACATAGCTCTCTACCGCCATTTCCCTCTTTCGCTGATTTCAGTTCTTCAGACTCTCTCAGTCGCCGCCAAGTCCTACCATAACAAAACGTCGAAACCAACCCAAAACGACCTCGTTTCGAAGAAAAGGGTTCCATTTTATTACTTTTTGTTTTTTGAGAAAAATGTGCTTAGAAAGAGGTCATTTTGTTTACTTTTTTTCTTTTGAAATGGAAAATTATAATTTTTTTTTTATGCGGATGGAAAATTATAATTTTGGTTATAAACTTATAATATAGAATGTTTTTCTCTTTGGTCCTAATTTCAATTCTAAAGCTAAAAGTGAAAAAGCACCGAGCTCTCTTTGATGTTTCAATAAAGAAATAGATCCAATGAAACAAACCCTCAATGGGAGGGGAAGTATCCATGAGTTTTTCTTCCTTATACGAGAGATATTGGGGGAGGAGGGATTCGAACACGGTACCTCATGTACATGAATAATTGCTCTTAACCAATTAAGCTACAAGCCCCTTATATCCATCAGAATTTAAGAAAATTGAATTGTGTGGATTATGTCCTATGTCACTCTGTCTCTCTTCTGTGGCAGAGAGTGTGAGAGTGCAATGTGGAGCTCATAAAGACACTACATAGTAACTATAGGAATTGCTTATAGTAATTATGTATATATATGATCAATGCAAGAAGAGGAATGCAACTTGTGCAGTTGTACCAAGTCACAAGTCAATTTATGCCAAATATTGAAGCTTAAAAATTATTCACATTTTTCTACTTTATTTGTTCCCTGTTCTTTTTAAGTAATATGAAGAGAGGAAAAAACAATATATTTACCCTTTTATTTTGGTTTCTATAATGATCAAGGCCAGGGCCGGACCGACGTTGGGACAAGAGGGGTCGGACGCCCCCTTGGAAGGCTGAAAATTTGGCAAGGAACTCCATGAAAGCCCCCTTGGACTGCTGCTAGAAGCCCCTTTGTATGCACACCAAGTGCTCGATGGAAGTCCCAGGCGAAGTCTCCTCTGCTGCTGCGCGCTAATTGTTTTTCAAAACGAGCCTTGCCAAACGACGTCGTTTGGTCCAAGAAACGAACAGCACCCTAACCTCCCAACCTCCATCACTTACCTTACCAAACGAACAGCACCCTAACCTCCCAACCTCCATCACTTACCTTATTTTCACTTTCAACATTTAAGTAAATGTCTTTGTCCTTTTACTTTCATTTATTTTTATATTACTCCATTTACTTAAGTTTACAATGTAAATAAGGAAGTACCCCCTATTTGGATTCAAATAAAAATACTAGAAAATCAAATTCCCACCAAATCAAAATATGAAAAATCAGTTTTAGTGCAAAATACGATTTAGGCTAAAAATGATGGCTCATTAAGTCAATATATCCTTCATACTAAAATCCCATAAAATCAAGTTTTCTTATTTGATGTGTAAGGAATAAAAGCCGCCAAAAATTATATTGATAAAATGATTATTCCGAAAAACTATTTTTCATACTTAGTCAATATTTTTACATAAAACATTTTTTCATATATGATATGAATGCATGAAGGGACGTAAGGTTTTTTTTAGTTTGTGAAATTGTGATTTTTTTTCTTTCTATTGGGTTTAATGGGGGGAGAAAAGCTTTAAAGATATTTGCTAAATCGCTACTATTTGTCTATTCTTGCAATTTTTCTTGCTCAGAATGTATTTTTCTATCCCTTTGTTGAGGACAATTATGATTGCAACCAATAAGCAATATAATTCTTGACATATGTGATATATATACTATTTTTCGTATGTATTGTGAGTTCGAATTTTTGATTCTTTATAATTTGAAAGAGGCTCCCACACACATAAAATACTGGCTTCGCCACTGCCATCAACCTCCATCAACTCTTCACCGGTGGCCCAGTGCTGATCACCACCATCTTGTAGAAAAATTTTCATTGTAGAAAAATTTTGGAACTTTTACACTAAGTCCCCTTGGCCATATAATCCTGGATCCGCCACTGATCATGGCTTTCTATGAATTACAAGTAAACAACATTTATTTACAACCGCACATTCACCAACTATGCAATCTTTCTCAGACAGCAACTTGAGCTGCTGCTAGCCTGGCTATAGGCACCCTGTAAAAAGCACTTAGGATAAGGAATTTGATCAAGCAATAAAATTAGTCTATGGAACTCAACTTACAGAAGACAAATGAAAGAAATGCAAACCTGAATGGAGAACATGAAACATAGTCTAGTCCCGCCTCTGCCAAAAATGCAACAGAAGAAGGCTCCCCACCATGTTCTCCACATATTCCAACCTGTTTGTTTATAATCACCATCCAAAAATATCATAAGAAGAATGGAATAACAAAAATCTTGTTAATACATGGCCATTATCCCTGTTAAGTTGACACTGCAATTTGTGATAAAATGCTTAATAGCTATGCATTGCCGGTTACCTTCAAGCTAGGCCTTGCCGCACGACCCTTTTCGGTGGCCATCTTGATGAGCTGCCCTACACCTCTTTGATCAAGTACCCGAAAGCAGTGCATTTGGACTAGTGTCAAGAAATCAGTTCGAATTATTTTTCCTTCCCTTACAAGGTTATTTACTCTGGTACTATCGGGGAAAGTGCTATCTGCAATGAAGCCTGTATGGACTCGCAGGAAATATGACTTACCTCAAATGGATCATTTTGAAGAAGGCCTTTGGACAGGTAAATGGGTAGAAACTTTCCCACATCATCTCTGCTGTATCCAAAGGTCATTTGTGTGAGATCGTTGGTCCCGAATGAGAAGAACTCAGCTTCCTTCGCAATCTATGATGTTGATCAGCAGATTATGAACAATATGTTCTTCCTTTTACACTGTTAAGTATAAATTAAACATATCAACTTAGCCTGCCTCATCTGCAACCAGAGCAGCTCTAGGGATCTCAATCATAGTGCCAACTTTATAGCTCAAGGTAGTACCCATCTCAGAGAACACTTTGTTTGCAACACTTCGAATTAGGCTCACTTGATGCCGTAGTTCCTGCATGACAATGAAATGCAAAAATGTCAGGAAGATGGAACTTTGCATGCTCATGAAAGGAGAAAGGGAGGAATAAGAATGCAGGATCATGCCTGAGGTGTTCCAACAAGGGGAACCATTGTCTCAGGGAAAACTTTGACACCCTGGTTGCTCATTGAGACTGCAGCCTGAAAGATGGCACGAGCCTGCATTTCAGTGAGTTCTGGGTACGATATCCCTAGCCTGTTGACACACCAAAAGAACCCTTTTCATCAACAAAAAAATAGATGATCTTTCTACATGTCACAATGAGATATCAAACTTTTACTATGGCCAATCGATTCAAAGTGTTAGGCAACTAAGTTCATTATTATGTACATTCATCAAGTTGTTAAATTTATGCAGGGGAAAGCTTGTTTAACGAATGAAATCAAACATCAAATGCTGAATAGACAAGAAATGATGACTGTGTGAAGCTAATGAACCAATTGACTGAAGTTAATCAGTTACAAAACTTTCTGAGAACAAAAATTTGAGTATCTTTAGGTAGAGAGCTCATATGGAAATTGAAGAGCCATCAAACCTGCAGCCTCGGAAACCAAGCATGGGGTTTACTTCTGATAATTTCTCAATTCTTGAGAAAACTTCATCCTCAGTCATGCCAGTTTCTGCAGTTAGTTCGCTGACAATCTGGTCTAAGTCACCTTCTGGAAGATATTCATGAAGTGGAGGATCTAACAGGCGGATTGTTACTGGAATACCTGGAATTTCATAAATTTATTGTGGGAGCAAATTTCCTCCCACGGGAATATTCGCCTAAAGATTCCTTCGTCTTCTTCACACCTCTCTCTCCCTGCAAAACAGATCGGAGTAAAGGACCACACCCGGGGGGTGTTGGCCAAAGGCCCTCCGATGCCTAAGTTAGGATGGGTGTTCAAGGAAAACCGGGTGGCCGGAGCCGTGTGTGGAGGCCGGAGCCTTGTGTGAGGGAGAGAGAAAGAAGATGGTGGCTAGGGTTTGTGGAGAATTATTTCTGCAGAGTTTCAGTAGGAATTTAGACGTACCTTAACCCTTGTGTGTAGCTAGGTATTTATAGGAGCCTCGGAGGCTATGGTTTCAGAGGAATAATTCCGTAGATGGAAAGGAATTATTCCTCCCCGATTAGGCGAGATTTGATTAATTAGGGATTTGATTTATCTGATTTAAATCAAATCCCTAATTAGGGTAGGAATCAAATCAATCCCCATTTTAATTAGGTAATTGCCAATTTAATTGGGTAACTCCCAATTAAATTGGGTAACTCCCAATTAGGTCAAATAATCCCCAAATGGAAGGAATTATTTGACCTAGGGTGATTTAATTCGGTTCCCACAAATGCCCCCCAGCTTCTGCATGGCGCGTGGTGGCATGTAGGAGATGTGAATTATCTATTGGGATGTCCAACTGCAACTGGGCTTCCTTCTTGGATTTGGGCTCCTGAGTTGATGAGGTATTTGACTTGCCAATTGGACTTTGGCTTGGGCAGTCTAGCTGTAGATCTGCCCACGATGAAGTCGCAGTCTCACGATCAAGGAATACGTCTCCACAGCCAAAGCAGCCGAGACCTTCTTCTGCCACGAGCAAGTC